AACATGAAAAAAACAATCATCATCTCTTGTCATTAGAGAAATGCAAATCAAAACCATATTGATATACCATCTCATGCCAGTTAGAATGACAATCATTAAAAATTCTGGAGACAACAGATGCTGGAGAGAATGTGGAGAAATAGGAACACTTTTACACTGTTGATGGGAATGTAAATTAGTTCAACCCATGTGGAAGACAGTATGGCAATTCCTCAAGGATCTAGAAATAGAAATACCATTTGACCCAGCAACCCTATTACTGGGTATGTACCAAAGGATTATAAATCATTCTATTATAAAGATTATAAAGATACATGCACACGTATGTTCATTGTAGCACTATTTACAATAGCAAAAACTGGAACCATCCCAAATGCCCATCAATGGTAGATGGGATAAAGAAAATATAGCATATATACACCATGGAATACTATGCAACCATAAAAGAGGATGAGTTCATGTTCTTTGTGGGGACATGGATGAAGCTGGAAACCATCATTCTCAGCAAACTGACACAAGAACAGAAAACCAAACACCACATGTTCTCACTCATAAGTGGGTGTTGAACAACGAGAACATGTGGATGTAGGGAGGGGAACATCAGACACTGGAGCCTGTTGGGGTGGGGCTAGGGAAGGGATAGCAGGGAGTGTGGGGATTGGGGAGTGATAACATTAGGAGAATTACCTAATGTAGGTGATGGGGGATGGAGGTAGCAAACCACCATGGCATGCGTATACCTATGTAACAATCCTGCACGATCTGCACGTGTACTCCAGAACTCAAAGTCAAAAAATAAATAAATAAAAATAAAAGAATTTTAAAGATTTCCATTTAATACTATTACCACAGAACTTTCCTAGAGATTTATGTAATGCCTTTGTGTACTCAAAAGGAAATTCCAGCTCAGTGACTGAGATGAAAAGAAAGTGGCACCCATTAAAGCTATTTAACCAAATTGCTGAAGACCACCACATTGCTTCTTTCAGGCTTCTACTATTCCGAAATTATTAAATAGTTTCAGGAAAGTTTAATTTGAAAAATATGAGCTTACATGCACCCAAAAAACTTTTTTATAGGGCATTTTTTGTATGTAGTGTAGGGCTGTTTTACTTTGTTACTCCCCCTCTGTTCATTCACTCCTAATCCATGACAAAAATTAAAAAATATATATTATTCATATAATGAAGGGTCTGAGGAAACTTGGATCAAGACATACATTGGCTTGTAGAAGACTTTATTCCTTCACAAGTTCTGTTACTGGAACATTTTAGAAATTTCAGGAGAATGTTGAGGTTCTGTAGGAAAGTTAATACACTTGACAGGTTTTAGTTTTTTAATCTAGTCAAGGCAAACAGCTTTGAATCAATTATCCACAATTTTCAACATATAATCAAGGATTTTGACAATATTTAGATGTTGAATTGCCAAGCTATTAGCAACCAAGAGATTTGATTAGACATCCATATTAATAAACACCTGTCATAATAGCATAACAGATGTTGTAGGAACACAGCTAACACAAAATCTAAATTTAAAAATTTTAGTCATATTTCTCTACAATGTGGTGCCTAAATTAAACTTTACAACATTTGTCCTATTTGTTTTAATAAAATTCAATTGTTGCAATAATTTCTATCAATAGAAAGATAGTTTCTATTTCAAACGACCAAAATATTTTCATTGAAATCAAAGCCTCTTGCACAAACATTTGAAATTATCAGTTAAAAGTGTGTTAGCAAAATACTAGTGTGTTATGTGTGTATGTGTGCATAAAATATGCACATGTGACTAGGGGCTACTGCATGGAACATTGCAAGTCAAGATCATGCATATGCTTTAGCATCTACTATTTTAAAATTTGCAATAGTTCAGATCCGTACATATAATTTTATGATACTCATATGTAACTTATACAGACTTACAGTTTTTGACAAAAGGCATATTTTGAATACAATAGTTGGTGTAATATGCTAAACTATTTAAATTAATATACTCTCTTTCCTTCGGGATTATGTTTCATGAAAATAATATATTTACACAGTATGTAAAAAAAGAAACATTGAGGCCAGGTATGGTGGCTCACACCTGTAATTCCAGCATTTTGAGAGCCCAAGGTGGGCGGATCACCTGAGGTCAGGAATTCAAGATCAGCCTGGCCAAAACAGACCAGCCTACTCAGGAGGCATAGGCAGGAGAATTTGTTGAACCTGGGAAATGGAGGTTGCAGTGAGCCAAGATGGTGCCATTGCATGAGAGCCTGGGCGACAACAGCCAATAGACGATACACTGTAACCAATGCATTCTGCATTGTTCCAGAGAATAGATATAGGACCAATTTTAGGAATTCCGCAGATTTTTGTTGAATTTAAACAAATAGCTGACAGTTAAAGCTGTCAATCCAGCAAAACAACAAACAAAAACTATCTCATGGAGTTATAGGCCCCTAATGTGGAAATGTGCAGTGAGAAATTAGACAGCTATTTGTCATGGAGTTTGTAGAAATTATTTCTACAGTTGAGAGACCCCAGACTCTTTGACCATCAAGTTTCCATTCAACTATTAGTTTCTATCATTGTATAGGTCAAAGGCATTTGTAATTATAAAATATCCTGATTCATGCCCATTCTGATTAGCTATGATTATGTATTTTTTATCCAGTTGTATCATTTTACTTAGTTTTATCCTTTAATATAATTATGTATGGTTTATGGTACTTACTGAAGAGAGAAATTAGCTCCTTTGGGAAATCTCTATGGATCAGATTTTTACAACTCCAACTTGACTTTAAGTATAACAGTTGCCCTTCTCGTTATTCTTCACTTATTGTTATTAGAGACCTTCTGCTTTCAATTACAAACTGGATTCAGACATTATTCTTTCCTTCAACTAATATTCTCCCCACCCCAAGTCAGTATTTTATCATATGACCCAGTTTTATTTTCATCTTATATCTATTATCATCTAAAACTATCAATTACCATTTATTTGTTTACATGTTCATTTTTTTTTTAACTTTACTGTTTTCTCTATTTGATTTCAAGCTTTATGAGTGCAAATACCTAGGAAAACTCCTAGTCTCTGGTAAAAATTCACAATAAATAAATTTAATGAATAAATTAATACATAGATGGCTGAATAAACCACTTTTTAAATTTTGCATCCATGAAGCTTAATATCTAATAGGGAAGACAGTCTTTTCCCAAAATGATCTTTCCATTGGGGTATCATTTTCATCCAGTCATTCTGTGTGGCAGAGAGCAGGGGCCATGCCTTATTCTTTTTTTAATCTATCATGCTGCATAGCAAAGTGACACACACATAACAAATTATCAACAACTGTTAAGTGTATGAGTTAAAATGCTTCATGGAAGTGATACCACTTTTTCTTGAGTGTCTTAGTAAACTAGACTCTTTTAAAATTAAAAAAAGAGAAGGAGAGTTGCTGTGTGTTGGTTTTTGGCCCTGAAAAGAATAAATGAAAGTGACAAACTGGAATAGTATAAACATGGGACAAGAATAAGAACTGCCAGGCATGACTGATCCCTGCTCTACAAATTTCTGACAGTTTGAACTTGATCAAGCCACAGTCTTGCATGCACATCAATGTTTTCTTTTGTAATTGGGGCTAATAATCTCCACCAATCCTGTACTCCAGGCTTGCTATGTACATCAAAAACGCATTATATGTGGGAAATTTGTTTAGGTTGTAAAATACCATACAATTAAAACTTACCAGTATGGGTAGCATTAAAACTTCTGCAAAGCCAAGGAGCAGCCATCTGTCCAATTCACATGTAACAGTAACAAGTGTCTCTAGTTTGAACTAGCAGGAGAATAGAGGGAAAAAAGGGAGGAGAGAAAGAGAAAAGGCAAAGAATAAAAAAGAAACAAGAGAAAGAAAAGAAAGGAAGAAAAAATATACAAAATGAGGCTACAGGAGGAGAACGTGGCCAAGAGGGAAGAAGAGAAAAGGGAGCAGAACCAACAAGAGAGAAATAATTGCTTTAAAGGGGAATTGGGAGTAGCATCTATGGTGACCACAGATAGGCTGAAATCTCGAAATTGAGGTTTCATTCATTTCAAAGCAATAGACTAGGTGATGTGAGGGATGCGGTAGGATTGTACGTTTCAAACCAACAAAGGATTAGCCAGAATGAGATGTCATCCCATGGAAACGGGTGACCATAAATGCCAGAGACAGGGTGACATTCACCTATTCACTGCTAAAGTAGAAACTGCAGCAAGAACATAGGCTTATCTTACTAAGAATCTCTTCTTAGTTGGTTAACATGGTTAACTCTGGTTTTCAAGACGCAAGCTCTAGTACAAGACCACCTTCTGGTGGTGGTGGCCTTACCATGCATACATACGACTTGACTGACCCCTTAGATTTTGTACAGTGTGTCACAGCTGAAACCTCTGCAGTTTTCACCAAGCCTGGCCTGACACACTTTCCCTACAGTTAGTTATCATGTACATGGCATAATAATCTGAACATAACCTTTGAAAGGAAAATTACTTCAGTGATCCTTGGGAGCCATCTTGAGTGTGTGGAAAATTGGTTGCTGTAAAGGATGCTCAAGCTCAGCTCTTAGAAGTCAGAGTAGAATCTATAATTCCCAGCCCTTCAGCTATTATTTTCCATGTTTCTAAAGTAATAGCTATGTTTAGAAATAGGCCGCTCTTTATTCTTTTGATCTTTTATTATTATTATTTGTAACCATGTTTTCCGGTTTTCAATTTGAATTCCCCTTTCACCTTTAGTTTCTTGTTGGTCTAAAAAGCCCCTAAAAATAATTCCTGTTATCTGTACTATAGCATCTGTGCTCACAAGAATAAACTTCTTTTTAGTTATTCTCTAACTTACGTAATACTTCCTTCTCTAATATCCAGCATCTGAAATGAGGGGCAATAAAAATAAGTCCTTATGGTCATTCACAGTTGCTCTTTGGAACTGACTTAGCAAAGGGGAAGGAGGATACATTGTAAATGACAGTAACATGTTGAAGGTAGCTGCATGTTAAAAAGTTTAGAATGAAAAATGTTTTAGGATAATAATTCACTGCCCATTTTGGTTTCAGAAATGACAGGCAATGAATGAATAAACCTTTTTTAAGGTTCAAAATAAAGGCCATTGATCTTAGAACCTTAAAAAACAAAGAATACTTTTTCCTTCCTTCCATCACTTCTCACATGCTTTTTCATAATCTTTTGTTTGCAAATAGCTAATAGAACCAAGAATACAAAATAAAAGTCAAAACCATGAAGCTATTTACAACTTAGATAAAGGAATTGATTAATTAATCTCTTGACATGTATATTTTTGGAAGAACTGTGATATGTAACTCTACGGCTAGTCTTTCTACTGTTCTGTCTCCAGATTCTCTGGGAAAACCAAGCATGAGGCAGCCATGGACCATGTCTTCAACATGCTTACAATCTTGTTCAAGAACTAAGATATGTATATACAGCCGGGCGCGGTGGCTCAAGCCTGTAATCCCAGCACTTTGGGAGGCCGAGGCGGGTGGATCACGAGGTCAAGAGATCGAGACCATCCTGGTCAACATGGTGAAACCCCGTCTCTACTAAAACTACAAAAAATTAGCTGGGCATGGTGGTGCGTGCCTGTAATCCCAGCTACTCAGGAGGCTGAGGCAGGAGAATTGCCTGAACCCAGGAGGCGGAGGTTGCGGTGAGCCGAGATCGCGCCATTGCACTCCAGCCTGGGTAACAAGAGTGAAACTCCGTCTCAAAAAAAAAAAAAAAAAAAAAAAAAAAGATATGTATATACATAACCCTAAAGTAGAAAGGGGTGAAAATATCAAAAGAGGTATGGTTAATATGATGGAAATGTTCAGAGAAATCAAAGGTTTCTATCCTGCTTTGGGCAACAGTAAAGATAATCTGGAAAAAATAACATTGGGGTTATGGCTTTAAATATTAGCCTCCAAAATGGGGCTATAAGATGTTCTTTTGGAGACTGAAAAGAAAATATTAGAAAGTTTCTTTATATTTGTTATCTAAAGCGTAAAAATTGGAGCCTTCCCAGGATTTACTGTATGATTGGCATTGACACTCTCCTGTGTATATCCCAGACAAGAGAACTTGATGAAAGGGTTGTTTGTGGTGCCATCACTTGTTTAATAGCAGCTTTCAACATTATCACAATCAATGCAGACCTGGATTTATGAAATATATGATTTAGTTTTAACTCGTCTAACTCTCCTTAAGTGTGACCCACTGTTTTATATTTTTTATAAAATAAACTATGGATTAAGGATCATTAAAAGGGAAGCCTAAACGGAGCAAGAAGATGTCAGAATTGGAAATTCTCTTATTCTTAGAAGGAGATGGTAGTCAGCAACATTACAAAATAAAATCAGTGGTTATCCAGTCAAAACTGACAATAACTAGGCCAGTAAAATTAGTATCAAGAAGACTACTTGACATGCAGATTTGCATCCTCTAATACTCATTTATACATTTCTCTTGAGGGATTATTGCATCTTGAGATTGTTTTTAATGACATTATCATTAGCAAGATATTTAAAATAGTTTCTTTCATTTTTACTTTATCTCTTTAAAATGTATATTTCTATATATGTCTTATACATAACTTAGTAGCATGATAATGCAGGTATAACATAAATAAATATAGACATATAGAGAATGAAGATAAAGCATGTAAAGACTCTATTCTGGACAGAGAATAAAATAAAAGCCCCAAAGCAACCTTTCTGGCTAAAGCTATGAATGTTTTGCTATTTAAGAAACCAAAGGCTCAATGTGAATAGGGACCCCTTTGGGATGCCAGCTTCCGGCGTAAACATATTAGAATTCTTGGAACTGATCCCATGGAGCAGGCACAGTCTTAATGATTTCAGCCTTCTGGGAAAATGTCATCTTTTTTTCATATTAAGAGGCAAAAACTTACTCAACGCTAGTGTGTAAACCACCAAAACATATTCTATGAGTTTCCTCCTGAAAGCTGCAAAGGATTTGTATTATATTCAGAGCAACCTTCCTGTCACATGGTTGTTGTTTTTCTCATTTTCTATCTTTTCTTCCTGAATAACCCCACTTAATTGAGACTCAGTGTCTCATGTTTCAATGAATGTTTTCAAAAAAGAAACACTAGGGTTTGGGGAGCAGTTCTAGGCAGTAGAGAAAACCAGCCTTCTCGCCCCAGTTCAATATGCTCAAAAGCCATCATATCATTTTCAGAAGTATTTGGGGAAAACTTTGAGGCCTGTTTTCAGAAAGACAGCTGGCAGACCTTAAATGAAATAGATCTTTTGTAGAAAAAGGCTGTGGCCTAACACATCCTGGCACTGTGACTTAAGGCACATTGCTGGGCAGCACCACAATATGCACACCTAGGAAGGAAGGAGGGGAGGTAGGAAGGAAGGGAGTGAGGGAAGGAGGAGGAAGGAAGGAAAGGAAGGGAAAGAAGGAAGAAGGGAAGGAGGGAAAAAGGAAAGGAGGGAGGGAGGAAGAGAGGGGGATCTGAAAGCCTGGCCAGTATTCCTTTCAGTATGACACCAACATAAGACCCTCTAGACGGAGCTACCCAATACAAAGCCATGTTCAAATATTTAGATATGGCATGAGTCTATTTTGTCCTGAGGCAAAAATTTTTTAAGGCAAGGACATACACACATGAGAGGAAGGATCACTCATAGCTTATGGTACCTAATAACTACCATGCTACAATGATTTTGCTTTAACATTTGTTAATTGAAGAGGCATTATGTTGTGTCATTTTGCAATATAAATAATTGGATGTTAAGCCTGATGAAGGGTAGAGGGTAGGAGGCGGAAGAGGATCAGGAACAATAACTAATGGGTACTAGGCTTAATACCTGAGTGATGAAGTAATCTGATGGATGGAGAAATTTTTGTAAATAATATGTGCATCTGAACTCGAGCTGATTATTTAAAATTTTTAAATCGTACCCTTTAAAAATTGACTTTGGGTCACTGCCCAATATAGTAATTCAATAAAGCATGTAAATCAATTGAGAGCAGCAAAAATGACACATTAACATGAAAACCAGCTGTATAACTCAGTATGTCTCAAGCCATACTCAGTCTGAATAAGCTGATTGAAAATAGCAAGCTTTACAGTGTCCTAAAATTTAATGGCCTGTAGCTATACTAGATTAGAATAGTTGTGGGTGGAGAGCATGCCAAAGATCAGCTGCCAAAGAACTTGTCATCTCAGAAACAACAAGGCCTCAGACTGGTGGCAAGTCAGACCCTTGAACTAACTCTGTCTTGAATCTATTAGCTGTGATTGGTCTTGACTAAGTTAGTGGCTCTTTCACCTCTGTGTGTTTCTTCATCTGGACCTTAGAATAATATTATGCCGTGATCAGAATAAGAAGTAAATTGGTAGGCTTTGAGAAGGTCAAATGCTAACAATAATGGCTAAATTATATTATTTTCCTAAATGGAAAATGATTATTTTCTGAGCTCATAAAATTTGGTCTGATATGAAAGGAGCAGAGGCAGCCAGTATGTCATGGTGGTTTAAAGGGAAGCTGGAAAAAATGCCCAGGCTCTGTAAGAATCGTGTACATGATTAATGCTGAGGCCACTGCCAGCAGGAAAGAGGGGGACTCCCACAGTCAGAGAGTGTGATTCTATTTACAGTACACTGGCTTTGATTAATGTGCACACTCAGAGAAGTAATATGGGGAAGGCAAGAAAAGACCTGTTTTCAAATGTTGGTGCTGAGCACGGATTTCCCATTATGTCCAGAGAAAGTGTCAATGAATAGTGACTTACAGTCTTTTGGTTTGCGGTGGCGGAGGGGGCTGCTGGGGGTACCAGTGAGGAGGACATTGCCAGGGTAACTTTCCCATGTATGAGGGAAGATAAAAATGGCCTTTCTTGTGAATTCTTACTACTCATATGAGTCTGGAGAGTCACCACTAAGAAGATTATGCCACATCTCAGTTTCAATAACCAATTGCTTTTAAGGGGATTACTAAGTAGTTTTAACCATAATGTCATCCCTAAGTGACGCTTTAAGTATGCAGTACTTATATAGTATTTGAATGTCTTATGAAAACATGTTCTAGGGTTTTCAAGGCCCATGGATGTCAAAGAAGAAATGAGTACATATAATAATCACCTGAAAAAAAATGTTCTCCTCTACCCTAGAAGAGGTTTCCTTCTTTCTCTTGCCCCATGCCAGAGTCTGCTGTGCTTTCAGGAAGTGTATAATGTGTAGCACCAGGAGAGGAAAAAGACAGGTTAAACTTAATGTGTGGTGTATGGGGGAAGGAGAGTAGCATCAGATACATAAAATGTCTTCCCAGGTAATTCTGGTTCTCCCAGGTCTCCAAATTTTTCCAGGCCACCCCACTTGGATATGAATTGTAAGTAAAGGAGCATACAGCTAGCAAGTCATTAAGAATCAAGAACCTGACCCTTTGACTGGAAGTTGGAATAATATAGGTCATGTTAAAAAATAACTAGTAATCTGGAGAAATAATCACCATAACTCCATCAGTTTATCCCTACAGATTGATTTGATTTAAATGCAGGAAAACCAGTAGCTTCCTCACAGGACCTGATTCTGACTACTTTGTAGTGACTCCTGAGGACTTTGTAGGCTGAATAATGATTCTCCATGATGTCCGCCTTCTAATTCCCAAAACCTGTGAAGAGAGGATTTGAGATGGAGAGGTTATTGTAAATCATCTGAGTTGGTCCAATGATATTACAGGAGTCTTTTCAAGAGCACAGGAGAATAGAAAGGAGAAGGTCATAAATGTGCATAAAGCACACATTACAGTGATATGTTTGGGTGAAAGAAGAAGCCACGAGCCAAGTAATACAGGCAGCCTCTAGAAGCTGAAAATGGTGAGAGAATGGATTCGCCTCTCAGAGCTTCTAGAAGGAATCAGACCTGCTGACCCTCACCCCCACTTTAGCCTAGTGACACTTACTTGGGACTTCTCAGTTCCAGAAATACCAAATAATAAATTTGTATTGTCAA